TATTATGCAGGTGTCATGCTATTACTTATTTTCATATTTTGTGGTATTTTACTTTAAGGACATTTTACTTTTAAGCCATTTGAGAGCTCAATACAGTCATGACATTCCCCAAAGCATTACTTACCCAATTCAAACTCATACATTACATTTTCCACAAGAATGAGCTCTTTAGATGTTAAATGCTATAGAAAACCTCCCTAGTTTAAAAGTACATAAACTACACACTACTATATCTAAAGTATGTAAAATTGAAGGAGGAACAAATATAACTCCAAATCTGAGAGCATGACAGAAGAATAATAACATTTAAAACAGACTAAACTTAATGATTGGCCTAAATGCAGCAGTGTGATAATTAACCTGATATTTCCAAAATGGAAACAAGCTGCAGTGCCATTTTTGCATCAATCAATAAATCATAATACTTTTTTTTTCCTTGTAATGTATCTGAAGAGTGATTCTTCTCAAGCATTTATTGATACAGCCAAGATGGTGGCATTTTTCCATCTGGACTTATGTCTTAGTATGGTGACTGAGGACAATGTGCTATAGGATGTTCTGTCCTTAAGATGAGATGTTCAAAGTTCATTACTCCTCGATCATTTACAGATCTTATTGCACTTAAAACAAGTAGGTATATCATCCCTGGGTGTCCTGGCTAAATTCTGCTGTCATCCCAAATAAGGATCCACTTCATTCACCACTGGCCACCATTAGGTGCCAAAAGTCCCACTCCACAGCACATCAGGGGAGAAGCGAGACATTCATTGAATTCTCACTTCTCATTGAATTCAACAGGAATTTGAGGGAGACCAGTTTGTATAAACCCTGAAAGGAATTTCACATGGACACCAGGAATAGCAGCATTACCATGGTATCTTAAATGATCGAGTAGCCTCATCTTCCTACAGCATAATTCACATTGCTACCATACTGGGAGTTGGTGAGGTCTCCCATCTCAGTACAGATCAGCTCAGCTTTGTTGAGCTTCCGAGATGTGATGAAATCAGACTACAAGGTGACAATGGCTGCTACCAACAGGCCTTTCCAAAATGTGCCTTTTAGTATTGTATACTGTGCAATGTCCATATATTGCTACTTAAATTGTTCAGTCTTCAAAAATAATTAGTCGTCAAATTATTTTAAACATCTTTTTAAGGCAATGAATATGCTCATTGTTAAAAATGTTAAAAACATGAAGATCTACTGTAGTAGTACTTTATTATTTTATTTTGGAGGGCAGGTATTAGGAACTTTTCATAATTCCCTATTGGCATCATGTTGATGTATCAGTAATCCTAAGAACTGTGTTTCAACGTCTGTCAGCTCTGCCTTATTTACTGTAAACCATAACTATTTAATGTTTAGTGCTCTTTGTCACCAGAGAATACATAGGAAAATTGACAGATCTGTACAAGCAACATTAAAAAATTCAATTCATACTGCATTCAATTTCCTCACATTCCCTGAAGCTACTTTCCAGACCTCCTCATATTTTCCATCTGCTTTTGTAACAAGTCCATTTTATGTTTTGAATGATGGGCTACAGGGGCAATTTTAAAATTTAATAACGGTGCACTGAGTGCTGGAGGACCTATTTCTACTAACCCTCCTATCCAGCTCTGGAGCTACTGTGGCCTGTAAGAAGAAACCTTCTTCCTCTTGCCAGTAGACCTTGAAAATGAAAGTTTAACCACACACTTCACTACCAAGTCTGAAGCTCCTGAGCACGCTGCTCTGTTATTACAGGTGTGCCATACGCCTCTGATGTATTTGCAGAGTACCAAGGTGTTGCCAAGAGAGACTGTGTAATTTCAGAGACGTTGGCAGGCTACAATTCTCAAGAGAGGTATTCCTGTTTTGCCAGGAATTAAATGAAAATTTCCCAGCCATACTGTACTGTACATGCGTTGAAACATAAACCTCCATAAACTGTGAAAATAGAAAAAACTAAAAAAGGTCTGGTAAGATTTTTTTATACTCCCATACACACTTTAAATTTGTTTGAAATTGGGGGTCCCCAACCCTAGTTGTCAAGGTTCAGAAAACAGTGTTGTTTTTTTACTAAGACCTTAAAGCTGCGATGAAGGAGTAAACTGGTCTAATTAAGTCAAAGATTAATCAAGATTAATCAATTCACCACTTTGCAAGTGATGACTATTTACTGAAAAATGCATAGAAAAACCTGTTGGATTCCAGACTTTGAAGATTAAAGCTGGGAACCCCTGCTTTAAATGTTACTCCTTGACTTGAAAAATGATGCTAAACTCTATATGGAAGGTCTATTGTGCACAATTATTCATCTTGATACTTATTGCCAAGACAGGGCCTCTGAGTTCCGGAATGATTATATACTGTATGTATCAGTATATTCTGTCACCTTGAAATGTGAATGAAATACCAGCTTTGTTTTCCAAAGATGAATTTTCCACAATGTTAAAGGCAAGCCAACAACTTTGTGTACACAGTTACACTAGAGTACCTTGACTGACACCTGAGGAATAAATTACCAGGTGAGTGGTAATTTGAATTCAACCACAAAACTCACAGAGCCAAACCTTCAACTCACTTTATAGAATGTGATCAAAATTTTGAGACTTTGGTTTGGAAAATGGGCAGTAAATCATAAGTCAGTTATGGAAAACTGGAGATTTCACGATAGAGTGCTAAACTGATGGATCACTTTCAAAAGAACATGTTTTTGATTTTAAAATTATTTTAAGATATAGGAAATAGATATCCAATCTACGCTAAGCACAGTTAAGGACACCACAAAAAGACCAAAACTACCTCTGCCCTGAACAGAGATCTTCAATTTGTGTCTTTTGGTTGCTGGTGGTTGTAGGAATCTGATCAAAAGTATGTACAATACTTCAGGCCATACAAGACACACACCACTCAATCATTGCTGAGCAGCACTACTAAAGGTACTTGTGACCCTTTGTCTATGTTGTGTTTTGCAACTGAAATTTAAAAGCAGACAAAATAAAATGGCTGCACACAGGCACCAAAAAGGTGATGCAGGTTGTGTAACTTTAAAAAAAATACAGGCATATTAGGCAAGCAATATACAGTAGTCAATTTGTGAACTGATCCAAAGTTCACTGCACAGAGCTTCTTAATGGAGTTATTTTAGGAACAGGAAAACAATGCTTAAAGAGTTTAATAGACCTTGCTCCAATTTCCAAATTTATTCTTGTTTTAAAATAAAAACTTTTTGTTTTTGTCATGAAGGTTATAAGTCATGTATTTAGTATACTTTCCCATGTTGCATCCTATGCGTACTTACTCAAAGAAGTAACCTGTTGTGCTAACCTAAATACAGATGCACACAAAAAACCTTCTATCCCTCCTATTCTGATCTGATCTCACATTTAAATGGATTAGAATCCACAGTGCCATGGATGGATGTCTTTCTAGAAACTAGTTGGTATCAGCTCTGAAAAGCAGAACCACACCAGCTTTGTTGGACAGCTGTGTTCCACTGAGCTACCTTGTTATCATTATTGTATTAGCCATAAATCTTGGATTGATCATATACAGACACATATGCCAAAAAGCACTTATGAGATAAAACACCTGGTTTTAGAAGAAAAGGATGACAAAGACTTAGTTACACTCATTTACATCTTGAGAACAGGTCATTCATACCTACATAGCTTGCCAGTTTCCAATATGTCAGCTGAATCTATCAAAGCTTAAAGTTTAATTTTCAAAGACTTTATATTTTGCTCTAAGATCTGGAAATATGCTTCCTGCATGAAGACACAACACTGAACAATTCACAGTACTTTTAACTGTACTGTTTATCCTCAAAAGATTGTAATTTTTGGTCTAAAACAGCTCAATATTTGTCATAAAGTGACTGCCATCATGTAAACTCAAACGAGAAAGAAATGATTTTTCACTGCAAGCAGGAATTCCTGAAAGTCTTTGATAGACATTGCTTTAATTAAAAATAAAGCTTAAAGTATTAAATGCTTAATTAAACAAAGTATGTGCGGGATAAAAGCTGTTACTTGCAGAGTATGTCACTAAATATTTTCAGTTCATTAGTGCTTCACATACATCAAGTGACACTCATTACCTTTCCCACAATGGGCTTTGAATTACATGTTCTGTGAAGTATAAAAGAATGATAAGATTCATGAATCATTTTTGCAATTACATATCCCAGAAATGGAAAAATCTCCACCCTGAAAGAGAGAGATGCATATGAGCATCTAAAAGCTGTCTAGGATTTTTGTCATACAACACAAAGTGGGTACTACACACTCCTGTCATTGGGTTTTGGGCATTTATGTTTAGCTTGATGTTAACAATATCTTACTTGAAAAGTTAATCCAACTTTTGTTGTTTACGAAGTTGCAAAACTAAAAAATGTCATCTCATTTTTATGTTTTGTTGAAACTGTTTATAGTCTTTTACAAGAACAACATATCATGAGAAAATACAGTAACTGCTGGCAGTTTGGAATTATGGGGACATGTCTACATGACTTGCATAAAGAACCAAGGTCTAAGTTTCCACCAAAATATATCACATCACCATGTTCTTTTTGTCTCAAGTCTTCCATATCAGCATTTCCCATTTTTGTTCCAAGTTACCTAACCAAGCCTCTACCCACTGCCAGCAACTGATCATGTTTTGAAATTCTACACTGCTGTATACAAAACATGGTCATCTCAAATTCACACTTTTATTATATTAACAACTGAAATATTCAGAACTGAAATCGCACTACTTGTCCAACAACCTCTAAAAACAGCAAATAGTCTCTTTATATTTGAGGATTTGACTACTATATACTATATGGCATTTAAAATAAGAATCCCATGTTAATTTATGGTAACAGATCTCACAGGAATAGATCAGACTGTTGTGGAACAGTCACTCTTCAGTACTCAGAGGACTGTTCAAACTTCCTGCAACAGGATCATGATGTTAGAACCCAGCGTTGACCCTGACTTCTACACAATCAAACCCTTCCAGGCTCTCACCTCCACAATGCTCCGCAGGTCCCGAACGTACATACGCTCCGTTTCAATGATCTCCATGACAACACGGTCCACGTAGGTAAGCTTAGGATTGGGTGCCATGGCTTTGGCAGCAAAGGGCGAGAGAGGAGCCTGGCGGGGACTTTCAGCACCGGCCTTGTTGGCAGCGTTGTTGTTGTGGTTGTGAGAGCGACTTGACCATAAATCCACGTCCGCCTTTTCTGTGTTCTCTATAAACATGCCTTCGGCCTGCTGTTCCTTTTTGATCCCCGTGGGGCTCAATTCCAAGTCGATGTCATCATCAGCTGCAGGTGTGGGTTCTGTAGAACCAGAGGCAGAAGCTGCAGCGGTCAGTGCAGCTGTACTCCCGTATAGACTCTGCCCGTCTCTGGAGGACCCTGAGGACAGCGTGGACACCAGACTCACTGGGCGGTCTGTGTCCGAGAAATCGGTGCTGACCGAGGCAGAGCACTCCGATATCGTCGCTGTAGACATTCTCTCATTGCTGCTGATGGAGGAGGCCGTGGACAACCGAGGAGATTCTGAAAGAACAGAGAATACATGGCACTGAAAAAACAAAACTCAGTGAATAATCTGGAGAGGTTAGTCCTCGTCAGTCGTCAGTCAGTCGTGCTACCCCAGTGTGATTTGAATTCTTTAAGTTTTCCTCACAATTTGGCAGATAAAATATCTCCTTAGTGGGATTAAAATACAGGCAAAACTTCAAAAGTCACATCAGGTAAACATGTTCTTTCTTTTTTTGGATCAGATACTTTTAAAATAATTTGAATATTGCTGTGAATCATGATAAAGTTTGATCTTTTGACATTGGATTAAACATCCTAGTTTTTATGTGGTCATGATCCATTCTGGATGCCTGGATGTAAAGTGTGGTAGAATAGCAAACTCCCAGGGGCTTTGGAAACATCCTGGAGGTCAACAACCACAGCCTTGAGCCTAAACTGTGATTCAGCTGAGCCACGATATTAGGTCCTAGAACTGTACCCTCCCTGATTTACAAATTATACAAAAAAAAAAGATACCTAGAAGCCTGACTCTTCATTATCAACTTAAACCACTTAACTTTTTATGTTTGATTGCGTGATGTTGTGTCTTGTAAATTATGTTTTCCATAGCGTGTCATTTAGTATAAGGTATTATTTAAACTAAACAAAGCTGACTCAAATCTACCTTTGTTAAATCTACTGTACATTGTGATCCTAATGTAAAGAACAGTTTTTTTTTAATTATTTAAAATGTTTACTTCTTGTATTTCACCTGCTATTTTTCAATACATAAAGACTACTTGGATTATAATATCGTATGTGGTTCCACAATGTCTTTTCTAAAAGACTCCCTTTAATACTGTATATCAATGAAGGCTGAAAGATGATACTGTGTACAACTGTCCTCTCTAATGCCAGGAATGCTGATATCTGCAAGGAACATGAATGCAGATGAACAGCTGGCTAAATATTATATAATACCTTACATTTATTAAAAGGAAACGGACTACAAAAACAGAGTTTAGATTCTACATGAAAACTGTTTTAGGGGGGGATTGTGTGATACTCTACCTACCTACTGTACAAGTTTACCTACAAGTTTACTACAGAACAATCTTTAAATTAAACAAACTAACACAATAATAAACAGCAAAAACAGATGCTTGGAAATATATTTGTTCCAAAACATTTTAAGCCAGGTATTAATGCCATAACCATTACTTTAAAGAGTGTCAATAAATTGGTTTCACATTACATGACAAAGAGTTTAAAATACAAGGAGAGAGTTTATGCTCATTGTAGGCAGAGTCCTGTTTAAATCACAATTTGAATAATCCAAAATATTCTGGTATTCTCCTCCAGAGAAGGAGGTAATGTACTGTAGATATTTTTGAGTAAAGGCTCAAAAGAAAATCTGAATATGAGATTGTGAAGTCTGTGTACAGGCAGTGGGACAGTTAATTTCACAAGATATGTACAATTGACAGGATGAGGCTGGAGAATGGGGTTACTGGTCTCTAAAAGACAACTATTTCTTTTTTGTGGAGAACCTGTTTTTAACATTCATTGTCATTCATCACAGATTATGACATTCAGTACTGCCTGTTTTTCTCACTTTAGAAACAGTGCTTAGTGTTCCCCAAAACACACCTCTAGTGAACTCCAGCTTTTGAGGTAATTAAAAACCTTTGCTCATCTCTCATGTGATTCAGTCTGTGTGTCAAATTCAAAGCAGCCCAGGGGGTTTGTGAGGTCTGCTGTGACATCTGCAACATCAGAAAGCAAACAGGCCAATGTTTTTGAGTTCATGTTCAACAGTAGATTGTAAAATACTGATGTTTTACAAATGAAGCCATTAATAAAAAAGGAAATTCACAGAATTTTGTGATTATTTAATACTACAAATCTCAGCTGAAGAATTCAGCTAGAGCTTTTATCTTTAATTGAAGAATTATTCGTGTGAACTACAAAGTAAGACAAAATCCTAATTGCTATTTTCATCTAATATTTTGATTGGTACAAAAAAAGAGTTTCATATATTGATACAAGAACAATGGGGGAATACTATAAAAACAAACCTGAAAAGGAATTGTACATAAAAAGGACAATTCATAGATTTATTTTTCTATAAAATTGAAACAACTGACTAGTATCCTAAGAAACATTACAAAACTAGCATTTTGGTTTATAAAATCATATCTTCTTCTGATTTTTATTAAATAAATTCAGGCTTTCCCAGTAGTAAATTCTTGGCTTAATGCAGATGCAAAGTAATGTAATGTTAAAGGTTGCAGTATCAGTAATGTTAAAGGTTGCTCTAGCAATGCAATACAAATAATATAACGGTGCTTCATCATCTTATGATCAAAGTTAATTTTTAACTGGAACCAGGAGACATCACAAAAAAGGCTTTAATCTGTCTTTCATGTGTTAATGTAATCACAAGGCACAGAATTGGCTCCGTATTTAATACATTAATAAAGAAAAGTAAATTTGGTTGTATATGTTTTGTTCAAGTTGGTTATTAATACCATATATCAGAAAGTGTCTGGAAGGCCTGAAGCACAACCTTGTTATGAGTGGTTGAAAGACAAATTAAGTGCTCATTTTGATCATGTCTAACTAAAAACTGTTTTGTGAAAATATGACTGCATAGAAGAACTATTTCATTTCACATATGAAAACCATCTTCCTTCCTATGTAGAACCACAATTTTCTTAAATGAAACTTTGTGTTTATTAATTACAATACACAACATCCATGGGAAAGCCCTGCGCTCTCTTGTGTGGTCCTGCAAGTTTCAGTGGTAGGCTAAACCCGCAAAATAAACCTATGAAAAACAGTGGAAAGACTTGCTGGCAGATAAAGATGTAGAACTATATTTATGCTTTACAATTATAATGAATGCAGAAACTCAAAAAAACAATGTCAAGACTACCTAGTTAACTCTGTCAATGTATTTTTATCATGGGTGATGCAAACTTTTCTTTGGACAGGACTTGTCCTGAAAGACATTCCTT